CCAGTGTGACTCCCAACCCCACCCTCTTAACCCTCTACTGTATTCATGAGAAACCCACAATCCCGTGCCTGAGCTGAGCAGGAGAGAAGCGCCTTGGGCTAAAGCCTATACGTAACCACAAAGATATTTTGGTGGGTTCGTTGAAAAGCACAGCATCGAAGAGCTTGGAGAACAACAGCGAGAAACCTTCAGCTCCCAGAAAGAGCAGACAAGGCATTTCTCTTTCTGCAAAAACATAAAGGAAATCCTTTAGTCCCTGAAAAGGTTCTTCCCCTGTTCATAAAGAGGTCTGACCCAAAAAAAAAATTGTCTTCTGTCCTTTTTACTCTTCAAACTTTCCTTAAGGAAAGTGAATTCACTTTGCATTGCATGTGGAACACTGTATTTCTCAGACTTCTTGCACTCTGCTCCATCAGAGATCAACTCCCAACCTTTTGCTTTAACCCCTTGCCTTGTAGCCTCTCATTCTCCATCTTTTCCTTACCACGCGCTCAGGGGTTTCGTGAGTTCTGAGGATGGTGTCTGAGTGCCGTGCCTGGTGCATTTCAGAAATAGCTGCTCACTTCTTGATTGCCAGGACACAAGAGTTATGTCACATTTGAGCTGAGCTCATTGCAATTACTCAGAAGGCATCTTTAGAAAGAGCACCATGTCTAGAAGTGTTCAGGCTGGGTTCGCATTTGAACTGACCAATCAGAAGGGACATGGAAGGATCACAGACTGATGCCTGGACTCAGCTGCTGCAACAGAATTACCCAGACAGAGGCAGGGCCCGCTGAAGGCCACGATCCCCCTCCCCAGAGTTCTAATATTTGCCCACTTGGGATCTTGGCAGGAAGCAAGACCACAACTTATGTCTCTGCAAGTTCTTCTCCATGTGTGTGTTCTCCCCCTCCCCCCAAGAGAGGGCATTTTATAAGATTTTATCACTTTAAATCAGGGTAACAGTTATAAAAATGGGGTTGAGAAACATGGGAGATTTCATGAGAAATGACTCATTCATCTCCATATATTCTATCAGTTTCACTGTGGTCAAAAGCAGGTGTTTCCAGTCTGTGAATAAGTAGTTTGCATTTTCAAAATTAACAAATTGGACCTACACCGAGGGAAAAAAAAAAACCAACCATAGAGAGCCCACCAGAGAACTGTTTACCAAAGAAGATGAAGCTCATGGTGGTGGTTTGCAAACAGCAGCAGGCTAGCTTGTGTAAATTCCCTTCATTTAGTCATCGTTCTTCAGCCTGTCACAGATACTGAAGGGAAATGCAGAAACAGGAAATTACAGACTATTTTAAACAGCATGTTTTATTAAACTCACTTGCTGATGCACTTTATGGCAGGATGTGAGATTCAAGTGTTCATAACTTACATTTTTGCAAGTGCTTTTCCTAAGTGAGTTCTCTCAGCTAAAATATGGCATGTACACAGGGCTGGAAACAATTTCTAAACTGGTAACTGTTTGACCCCTGGTCATGTAGCTATATCACATAAAATGGAGAAGGTTTAGCCACGTGAAGAGAATATACCTTGCTTATCCACTGGAACTCTAAGAAAGCAATGGAGGCATTGTGTAGTAACTTACAAGGCCCTCAATGCATTTATTTTAATCCACAGAATCAAAACAGCAACCTTAAAATTAATTACTAGAAACCATACGTTGTCTCTTTTATTATCTAAACAGTGATTTCATTCTGCTCTTCATGGGACAACTCTGCCTCTAGTTTAGATCATCAGTGTTAATGCCATGCAGAAGTCTTGCTTTTGAAATGGCAGGGATGTGACCACCTTAACTACGAATGAAATGACTTCGACTTTAAAAGATTGTCACAAAAATGGATTTCAACAACTAATTATTTTCAAAAATGTTTTCTGCTCACAATTCAAGGGATAGAAAAGCCTGGCTGTATCACGTGAGAACCCTCGTGTCCTTGTTTAATATTTACTCTCTTCAGCAGTGCCCCTACCTTCTGCGGAGTGCTCCTGGCTCTCTTGAGATGTGCAAGGAGCTATAACACAAGTTCATGACTGGAGGGGTGATCTAGGAGCTCTAAATGCCAATACCTTCATTCACTTTATTTAACAATGTAAAATGGTCTAAATTTCTATCGTCTTAAAAGATTATGCCAAAGAGGCTTTACCCCAAAGATTGATTGGTTGTCAGTCACTTCCAGTGGTTTTGAGTTTTCCTCCCTTCCTTCCAGGTCTCTTTCCCTGCAATTTTGTTCCCAGGACCCCTTTCTAGGTGAAGTATGGAATAACAGGATTTTAAGAATGGAAGTCTATGATGATGGTTACCTTTGCCCTTGTAAAGTGCCTTTAAAGACTTGTCTTCTACATCACCTACTTTAGAGAGGAAGGACCAGAGACAAAGGTTAATGATTTGGTTAATGACATGCACCTAGATGCCTAGGGGAGTAGCAATTAAAGGCACTCTTAGGGAGCTGAGCCATTTTCTTAAGTGAAGATTTCCCCTCATTTAACTTTTAAAAGTCTGGATTCTGCCGCATCAGGTTTTCCTTAAAGCTGAGCGCAGCAATGAGAAAAGGTGCTACTTCCAAGTGGGGAGACAGCAGTGTGAGGTGAAGGGGGTGCCTTGGCTTTTCCAGTCTCTGAGGATATAATATAGAACCCAGTTAAAAGGTTTAACTTAGTACTAAGGGGTGCCTGGGCCATTCTGGAAAAGCCCAGCTCGGCGTCTCCTGAGATGGCAATGCGGGCACATAAGAGGCCCTGACGCTCTTGCCAACAACAGGCACAGTTTGGTTATTTAGGTGGATGGTTAGGGACTGTTCTTTTGTTGATGAAAAAGTATTCCTGTTAGCATGTTGGAAATGTCCTAGAAAGCAAAACCTGATGACTAAAAATCACAAATTTTAATGCTGCTGGATTCAAAGGCACCGTGTCTCCTGCAGAGCAGCTCTGGTGAGTTCTACGGAGCAGGTGCGTGAGCCCGCAGCTCAGGTGAGTGCGGTGGGAACCGCCAACTCCACCATTTCCAGATTTGCCATCCAGAGAAACATCTGGTACCGCTGGGCTTTTAAAAAGCAAAAGGATAAGTCTTTTCTTTCATATTTAAATCTCTATGATGTATCACACTCATAGTAAGAATGCTGCATCTGACAAATTAATTAGCTTCCAACTAGCGTTCCCCTTTCTTCAAGTAAAATATTAGCCTCTTAGAATAACATTAGTACAGAATTGTGTGGAATACTACTTGTGATAGTCTGTAGCTGTTTTAACCCTTTACGTGTGGGTCATCTTCTTGACAATTTGATGTTTCCTAAAGGAATTAACTAGGAGTCAGTCTTTACAGATTCGTCTTATGCTATTTTTCCCCCAGAAACTTTGCAAAAACTAAAAATCTTTAGGTTCTTTAAAAACTTACTGATGACCAACCACATCATTTATTTAAATTGTGCTCTCAATCCACCGAAATCTACACCTACAAACTAGGACCATTCTAAAACACCTGTTACATTGACCTCTTCAAGTAAAAATTCCTGTGTGACCACTGCCCACTTCAGTTTCTAGATGTTTTGAGTTTTGTTTTGTTTTTTAAGGAGAAAGAGCAACAGAAGAGAGAAACATGGCTGATAATCACTAAAATAAGAAAAACTCGATGACTTTTGATCATTTTAATAAATATATATCAAGAAAACCTCACTTTATTACAACAACACATTCATATACAAGCGTCTACATTCCAAGTTTTCAACATCAAATGTTTATCAAATATTGAAAATAAAGGACAGACCTTACTAGACTATTTAGCCATAACACAAGAACATGTTTTAAAAATTGGTCCTTGTGGACATTGTCCAAATGATGATCCTACTCATACACTGTATGAATGAGACCTATATTTAATATTAATAGCAATAATAAAAAAGCTTTATCTTGGAGAAACTGGGAGGACTTACTTGTTTCCTCCATTTGGCATTTGGTTCCTGTGCAGTACTGTTTAAGGAGGCCCAAGTCAATCAGTAACCTGGGACTTGGAACAGCTTCGCAGGAGGCGTTGGCCGGAGCAGAAGCCAGGAGGGTCAGAGGGACACTCTGTACCCTCTCACAAATTAAAGAAATTATTGAGAAAAATGTTGACCAAATACATAGCTCGTAGCTATTGCCGACAGAGTCCCATTTCTCCAAAATAATTTTCCAAAACCTAAAATCTTTACATTCTTTAAGATAAAACCTTATTGATCACCACATCATTTATTAACATTGTGCTTCTTAATCAACAGCAAAAGTTATATATAAAAAACCACATGCTTTTATAATCTAAACAAGTGAAATGATGCAAAATAGATTAAAATATAATGCATGCCACGGGTTCATGAACTTCATCGGACAAGAAAACCAAACCAAACCAAACTACCCAAAACCCAAAAGAACCCAAACCCCAGCAACAGACGGTTGCTATAGAAAAGCCCAAGCAGCTAGCGCTGGTTCCCAACAGCTCTCTCTATTGTTTCCTCCATCCCTTTCTAAAAATGCCAAATTCAGAAACAATTGGGCATCAAAAATAAAGGAACAATAGAGATGTCGAATCAAAAGTTGAACGCAATAGCTCGAAGTTAACGGTTTCCAAACAATATGTATCCACCCTGTGTTTTTTTTTTTTTTTTCCTGTTTGTTAAATCCCTGCTGTAACTCTGATTTATCCTTAATTTTCACACTGGCGAAAATTAAGATAAAGTAAGGCACCAAAAATCGCCCTGTATCACACTTCTCTCAAAGCCTCATCACCCATCACAGGCAAGCAGGAACTTGCAGGGAGTACCCTCTACACATAGTGTTGATTGCCGCCCCTGGACAGGTGTGTTTCATTTATGTCACGTCCTGTTTTCATCTGTCACACAAGACTGTTAAATACAAATACTTAACAGCACCATGAAGCCATTTCACCTCGCTCTCTGTCTTCAGTCTTTTATTCAGAGAAAAAAAAAAAATACTGTATCACATAGATGAAGCAGACATCCTTTGCTGGTTATATTGATTTGTTCACCAAATAACTACCTAATTAATTGGCAAACGTTGAAGTTTCTTAGCTAGCGACAGGCTCCTTGGGGGTAATGGAAATATCACAAGGGCACGTTGCCCTCCAGTCTAATCTACTGATCTTTTCTGTAAGAAAACTAAGACTTTTCAGCATTAAGTCAACTCTCCTCTTGGTAGAATCACCACATTTCTAAGTAGCTCGCTTGATGCCTACTATACAGATGTTTTATGCAATCTGCTCTCCAGGCATTAAAACGACACGGCATGTTCGTATCCGTTGTACAAAACCAGAAAATCCGTCCGGAATAAAACGTGAGTGCTAATGGGTCATGCTGCACATGCTCGGAGCCGTGGTGCCGCGGTGGCTCGCGGTGGCTCGCGGTGGCTCGCGGTGGCTCGCGGTTCACTCCCTTTTGCCGCAGCACACTTTGTTAGTCGGTGAAGGCTCCTTTTTCCTTAAGGACTTTTTCCAAGACTCGCTTACGCTGTTTTTCTCATTATAGCCAGTCTCAAAATAATCATAAAATTGGCCTTTGCACTCAAAAGCGAGGTCATTCCCCACAGGTTCATGGCTTAGGGGGCCACCAGCCCTGTTGGCATCATCATTGGCTTTCTCATCATTTAACCTGGCCTTTTCCTGAACACCAAGTGACCTGACATTGGTGACAAAGATTTCATTGGCAGGTATCTGGCCATCACCCTTGTAAATCGGTGCACTGCCTACATCAAAATCCACCTGGTGGGAACAACTCGGTAAAGGCAGAGGGGGAGAGGAAGAGGAGGAGGAGGAGGTGGCCGTGGTGGAGGCACTTCCAACATTAGCATTGACAGAAAGGGGTACGTTTAGGTAGTGGCCACCACAATCTTGGTAAAAGCAGCAAGCGTGAATCTTCTCACACTCCTCTTTGGCCATGCGCGGTCGTTTCCGGTAGGGGCAGTCCTGAGCCATGAACCACTCCTGGGCGGGGCTGCCATTGAAAGAGCAGGCGGGAAAGCACCAGTTGTTCTGCATGATAATTTCTCCATGGATCCTTTTCATCAAGTTGTTTATGAGGACCGATCTTCGGAGGTACACTTCGGGGTCATCGATGAACTTGAGCTTTTCTAAGGACATGTAAAGGATGTGGGCTCGTTCCTCAAAAATGGAGATGGTCTAAAAATCAGAACAGGAAGAGACAGCTTAGGAAGTGGACTATGTGACTGTGTCATCGCGACATCCTGCTTGCTGGGCAGTTTCTGGATCTGGGAGCATTGTGGTCCTGTTTCCCCGGGTTCATTTAGAGATGTTGTCCCCAGGGCTGCTCATGTCCCCTTCCTGACTCACTAGCATGGTCAAGCAGCAGGGAATCCAGCCACAACACAGACCTCAGCAGGGACAGGTCAGGTTGTTGGGTCTTGTATGGCACAGTGAGGAGGGCGGAAAACACACTAAACTACGTTGTTAGAAGTCAAGAGAGTGGTGTCTCTGGAGGGCAGAGAGGTAGTGACTAGAAGTGGGGGGCACACGGAGGGGTTCCGGTTATGTTGCTTCTTAATCTGGATGCTAGTGACAGAGATGTGTCCACGGTGTGAAATTTATCAAGCTGTACTCCTATGACTCTTGTGCTTTTATGTGTGTGATACAAACACATAGACACACACATACTCATACATGCATGTCAATAAATGCTTTTAAAATGATGCCGACATGCAAGTCACAAGGAGTCCACACCAAAGCCGGGCATAGCCATCAAGAGGCCTGAGACCTGGCTTTCTGTGCTGCACCTCTTGTCAGTCCTCTGGGTTTCGAGGGACAATGATAAGGAATGAAGCTCAGAATCTGAAAGGATCTGAAGGGCCAACGTAGGTGTCCTTCTGGGGCCGACAGGAGAAGGGATGCAGAGGGAATGACAGGACTCGCTCCTGAGCTGGGTGAGACCATCACTGTGTGATGGTTGGTACAAAACCAACAGCAGTTGGAAAACTGCTACAACCACAGCACAAACTAAGGAGGAAATAAACTGCCTGTGTCCTGGGGGCCAGCCATCCCAGCTCATAAAAAAGCCAAGTGGTAGCATAACCCGAGGAGCTGTGAAGTGGACCAGCCCGGGCTGACCAAGGGCAGAGGCTACACATCGTGTGCCGATGTCTTCATGAGCAGGGTCAAAGTGACATCTGAAGGACAGGGGTGGTGATGGGGGTGCAGGTAAGAAGAGACAGAAAGAGAGATGAATCAAACAACTAAAAGTCCTCTCTGCATTTCAGACAACTAGGGTCTAGGTTGATTAAATCAGCGGTTGTGAAGGAAGATAACTATAAGGAAAATAAGCTGATACTTAAAAAGCTTAGATGGCCAGTTTCATACTTCTACACACTTTCCTGACCCTGTTATTTTCTTATAATACATGCAAAAAAGTTAGCTTTGCTGTTTTCTTGGGAACAGATGATATATTTTAACAAACTAAACATATGTAATAAATGTACAATGAGGTGCATGTTTCTACTTTCATGCACACATTCAAGGGAGGGCGAGTCCACCCCTAAGGGGTGGAGCAAAGTCCAGAGGAGGCTCCCCATGTGGGCACACACTAAGGTGGCACTGGCCACTGGAGCAGAGCTCAGGGTGGGAGCACATCAAAAAACAGCAAGGACATTTCAGCACACATGACAACCAGGACTAACCACAACCTTTAACACAACCTGAGAAAAACCAAATCACGTGCACAAAAGGTGGTCTTTGGATTATATAATTTTGTTATTTCTGGGTAGAGGAGCTCCTGTTGGGTCTTTTTTCAACTCCTTGTACAAAATAACACAGGACCCCCAAAAGTGACAACGATCAATATGGCTCTGATGAGAAGTAGCTCATTGTCATTGCTTGGATGGAACAATGTAATTTTTTGGAAATGGATCAAGCAACTGTTACTCAGTATCTTAAACTCTTAATAAAAATAATGACTATTAAAAAAAAACATACTTTATGGCTACAGCTGCTGAGTGGTGGGTGAAAATCCTCTTCTTCCACATACTTCCTCTTAAAGTATGTGATCTTGGATGTTGTTATAGGATTTGAAATTCCCCTGTAATGTGATCCTGTGGTAATAAATCAGATATGACAAATGACATGCGGTTTGCCAGAGGTTCTCCAAACAAAATACTTTTCTTTCCTTTCCTTCTAGAAGATAACTTGGCTACGTATCTGTCTGTACATGTGGTGATTAAAAATAAACACTTGTCTTAATAGTTGCTATCATACAGAATCCCGTGACCTAGGCCGGGCAAGGCTTTCTACACAATTCTAGAGAAAAATGACATATTTCAGCATTTACTAAATACTCAGATTCTTTGCATAGGTGAATCCAAAAGGGGAGGAGTGTAACAACTCCAAAATAATATTAGTATTTATTCAAATGGTTTCATTAAATCCATGACACCATAACACCACTGTTCAAATATATGCATACTAAACTGTAAGCACTAATAATTAAACAACTTTAAAATATCACTGGCTCTAGGTAGGGAAAGATATGATTACCTGTACATATTTCTTCTTTCAAAATATGAAATTTTAAATTTTAAATTAAAACTTTGGGTAACTAAAGTCCTTTTTGCTCTCAAAAATGTAATATGCCAACCAGGAATTCAAGTAGGGTCTAGTTTTTAAAGATTACAATTTTTCATCCTTTTTAGCAAAATCGACTTCCTGAGTACTAATTTTACATTGTAGGGTTTGTTTTTTTCAATTGTTAGTACTACACAAAAATCCAAAAGAACTTACCTTAAAGCATTAGACTAAAGAATCAGAAAGAACAGATTTCTATCCTCTGAGCTTGGACTTTCCCCCCTACAATACCAAAGCCAACTGTGTGCTTCATACAAAGGGACACAGAGCTGCTGGCCCAAAGTGCAGCTCCCTTTTTGTCTCGTGGGATGAGGATTTCATTGTCAAGCCCACTGGGGCTTGTCTAGCTCTGAGAGCACCGTGCAGTTCCACAGGGTAGAAAACCAAAACCCAAACTGAGAGTTTCAAAATCCGGTTCTCTTAAAAAAAAAAAAAAAAAAAAAAAAGACACATGACTTATACACGAAGCTGCAGCACATGTCCAGACTCAGATTTGAATGCAATTTAAATATCACCTCTGGTGCTCTCCCTGGAGCCCTGGGCTCACTTAAAAGAGGTGCACAGGTAGTCTGGAAAGTCCCTGGAGCTCAGCTCAGCTCAGAGAGGCGCTGCAGACACCGCCTCCTCCCACCGTCTGGCCTGAGGGCAGCAGGGAAGGTCAAGGGCAGTACCTGCCAGCGGGGGGCCAGCGCCCCGGTCTCCCTGCAGAGGAGCCTGTGCTGGCCCTGGAGGGCTGGTGCCTCCGTAGCTGTCAGCCTCCCATAGTGTCTGGTACCCTGCAATTTCAGCAGCTCCTTCCGAGACAATGGGCTCGCAGAATCTATTCATGGACAGAACCAGAGTCATCTCTGACAGCCTCAGATCTGAAAAAAAACAGAGAACAGCCCTAATCAAGAGGATGTCGGGCGATGGCCTTGGCATCTTCATTCCTTTGGTTTGGGAAACTTTTACTTCTTGGTCCTCCCCTTCACCCTGAAACATTTTATTATTTTTTCAAAGAAAACCTCAGCAAACTCTCTTGCTGCTATTAGCTCAGCCTCTGTGTTCGGCAATCTGCATTTCATGGGCGGATCTTTAAAATCCCATTTCTTATTGTTCTCAGATTCCCCTCATCCCTCTCGGTGCCAGCCAGCTGCTTTGCCTCCTAAACATTTTCCTCCTGACCTTGCCGCAGAAAATGTACCGCTAGGAGGCAAGGCCAAAACCCTTGCGCTTCCTTTCTATTAATAAAGCAAAATCAATTTTCTAGCCAATCCCCCGAGAGTCTCCTTTGATGAAATCCGCTAATCAATCAAAAGAAAGGGGTAGAGGAGGCAGAAATCTCCGCCGGAATCCCTACTGATGCTCTCAGGTTCGGCTGTTCCACTGCCCCCTCCTCTCGTTTCCGCGTTTCCGCGGGGCCAGTTCCTCTACCACATTCTGGGGCTGCCTCCACTTTCTTCTCCCAAAGCGAAGCAGACAGAGACACACTTGGTAGTTGTTTCCACCAGCCCTGATCGGCCTGAACTGGATCTGCCTCCAGTCAAAACACTGAGAGATGAAGACAGAAAATTGGCTCCAGTTTCAAGCCGTGAGTTGCAGTCCCACAGGAGCCAAGCACAACATCAACGGAGCAGGCAGAATATTAAACAGGAGCCAGGGCTTCGGGGCCAGAGGCAGCCGACAACTTTTTACACTGCAAAGCCCAGACACAAGGCAGGAACTTTCCAAGAGGCAACACACCACTGCCCTTCTCTCCGGTTCACGTCCTTCCCCCGGGGCGTCCAGGGAGACAGGGAGCCTCTTGGCTCTGTGATGCACCCTGGCCTCCTCCATAACGCAGGTGGTGGTGGGGGAGCATTTCCATGGGGGCCCAGGGTCTTCACTTGGTCCTAAGTAGGGCTCAAGGTAGGGTCAAGAGTAGCTCAGAGGAGAAAAGGGCCTGATACTAAAGTAAGAAGACCTAAGGGCCACAGATCAGTGGCGACAGCACAGTGGCCTCAGTGTCCTTCTAAGTGCCAGTTCCTTCAGGAGAGCCAAACCTCCAGGACCTCACTTCGCAGTTTAAAGAACTGTCACAAAGAGTGATGGCAGGCCTGCTACCTGCAGACTGACTGTCTTTCAAATATGAATGAAGGATTTAGTTCTTGCTTTCTGCTCCAAATTATACACTTACAGTGTTGTGGGGAAAAGGTGAATTTCCCATTGTCTCATGGGAGACTGTTATTACCTACATGTTGTAACAAGGGTCCACTTCCAGATAAAAGACACCAGGGGCAGTGAGAACAGCTTCATTAAAGTGACAATGTCCTTCTGGCTAACAGAGCAGCTCTCACGGGGTGACAGCATCCTTCACCCAGGTTTCTCTCTCTGAGATCCTAAATTCTAGCCCAGCCTCACTAGAGAATGAAGCAAAGCCTGCTGACAGACAGGAGGTGCCAGGTCAGTGGCTGGAATTAGGACCCAGCTGGTTTGGACTTTTAACCACCTACCCCTTCTCTTTCCAAAGAGGCAGCAGCTAGGACTTATTAGAAAATCTTATTATAAGAGAGAGAGAAAAAAGAGAGAGATTCAATTAATCTCTAAAAAGAAATGGTGGGACGTGTCATTAATTCTGTTCTTTGAGTCAACCAAAAAATTTAGAGCACACTGATTTAACAAACTACAGTATTCTGTCTGACACTCCCTCAAAGTCGGCATCCAAACAAGTTACCAAGCCTCATGATAATTTATTCCTTGGAAGACTCTCACGAAACGGTCCAAGTTGACATTCTTAATCTATTTTAAGACAATTGTATCAGGAAGTGCTATGGCCACGGACACGTGAATTATAGCTTTTCTGAGGCAGTAGCCCTCTCTTAGTGACTGCAACAGTATTTTCCAGCTTGAAATTTACCCTCCCTTTTGTGCTGGATTCTGGGAACAAGATCCAAGCTCTTTGCCTAAGAACTTTTATTACATCTAAACCAAAGCAAGTTGACAAATCCATGGCCCTTAAGAAAGGAAAGTATTTGCAGGCCCCAAGCAACAATTACCTTTGCTTAACAGGACACTGTGTGGGCTCTGTGCTGTTTTATGTCAGTAAGAGTTTGTTTATATTTTAAGGACTTACTGTTGTAGCTTTTTTGGTTGTTAAGGATTTCAGTGTTTCTATTTGTTAATATTGTTTCTAGTACATAAAATTCTATCATTACACATTTGAATGGGAAACATGGCAGAATTGTTTTTATCTTGGCTTTTTTTTTTTTTCCTTTATGAAACCTAATTTCAGCTAGTTTTTCTTTTCTGAATGGGAAACTTTTACACACACAAAATCCTAACCTCGAGAGGCTGAGTGCCACAGCAATTGAGTCTTTCTAGTCTATTTAGAATTTACAGCTGAGGATGTTAACAAACGAAGAAGGCAAGTTGAAGGTTCCCGAAGAATTGGAGGGTGAAGCACTGAGCATCAGTCTCTCACGCTTCTTCATTTGTGTTACACACAGATCCAAACTGTCATTATTCTCTGTATGATGGGATTTATATATAACTCTACTACTAAATTCAGAAGTTTAAATCCACAAATTTATGTGTTGTTAATACTAGATAGAGCCACCAAGATGTACATTAATGACAAAATTTGCTTAACTTGAGAGGTGAGTGGATTAAAAAAAAAAGGGTGTTCAAGAAAAACCACCGCCACCAACAAAGAAGGCTGTTCAAGTGTGTTTTGTCTATACATGGGTTTAAAAAAAATAAAGAAGGCTCTAGCCTTTTATCCTCAGGCTCCTGCATGTCTGTTTTGTGAGCCAAGTGGATGTAGAGGAATGACACCTAAAGCATCCCCAGAAGGCTGAGGGCTAAAATGTCAAGCTTTTCCAGTAAATGCTCACAGTAAAGTTAGCAGGCATTTCTATGCAGTTTGGTTTTTCCAGATGAGTTGGGCTTGTTTTTCTGGGAGCCATTATGATGTTAATAGGAGTGGCTACCACACAGAACAGGGCTGCCACAGAGTCAGCGGCACCTTGAGTCTGAGGCCTCTGGTCAATCTTTGCTCACCCCTCCCCCATGTCATTAGAAATTAGAGAACGTTTTATTAAGAGCATTATAGAAGTTGGAGGTCTGATTCCAATACTGAAAAGCAGGGAAGCACAGGGCTGATTTTTTCAAAGCACTGACATTGCCAGTCTTAAATGTCCTGCCCAGGAGGAGCCAAGCCCAGACCTGGACATTGTCCCTCATATGATTTCAACAGCTTAAGGAGCTCTTGGTAGCAGTGGTGGAAGGGGCTGGGTGGGCGGAATAAAATGCTTCCAGACCTCTACATAGACAGATACTGCTTTTCTGCCCGTCTTGGCAGTACACCTGTCTGCCCTGGGAAGTACATTTCTAAGCTGTAGCTCTGAGGGCCATGAGCTTTACCCTGTGCTGGGAATTCGGGTCCCGGGCCAGAGGGGGAGGGGTGGGAGATGGGGATAGCGAGGGTGCCCGGGTGTCCAAGCCCGGTGCCAGGTCTCCCCATCCCAGGCCCAAGCCTGGGGCCCGAGGTTTGGAGAATCGAACCCTGCAGTCTGGCAGCAGCCATCAAGTCCCGGCTCCCCAATAGACACACCCCCGGGGGTCTTTGCCTAGGCCTCCGAGCCCCTCTCGGGGGCAGCGAGCAGAGCCCTGCCCGCCACCCGCCGCAGGAGAAAGTAAACAACATCGCAAGTGTCTGGGAACAAAGGCAAGTTGTCTTTCCGCCGTGCCCGAGTCCTGCGCCTCTCCTGAAGAATAAGAGCTATTATTATTCTTTCTTTCTTTCTTCTTCTTCTTTTTTTTTAACCAAGTTTCCTTCTAAGGGAAATAAACACCAAAGGTAGGATTCCAAGGAAATGACTCAGGGCGGTTGGCTGGGCTCTGGCGAGGCTGGCCCGGTCCGCGCTCCAGCCCGCAGCCCATCCTGTCCGGCCCTCCCTCCCTGCCTCCCAGCCTGCCAAGCCCTCGGAGCCCGCGGCTGCGGGAGCGCCCTGCGCGGCCGTAGGACCAGGGCTGCGGGGACACGACCGCATCTCCCGCCAGCGTCCGCCCAGCCTGCGCCACCCCCGCCTCTGCCGCCCCAGCCGGACACTCGGGAAAGTTGCGAGGGCCGAGGAGGCGGGAGGGAGGGAAGGGAGGAGAGGGGCGGAGGCGTGGACCAGGCGGGCAGCAGGCGAGCCCGCCGGGGAGGTGAGCTGAGGACAGAGGCGCCGCCGCCGCCCGCAGCGCGGCTCTGCTGCCGGGGAGGAGAGTGCGGAGGCGGAGGTGGCGGGGGACAGAAGGTGTCAGCTCCTGCAGCTATTCCTTTTTCTTGCAAACGCGCGCTCCTGACATCCACCATCCCTTCCCTCCCCACCTGCCAGGCGCCGCGGCGTCCAGACCTGGGGGCATCCCTCCTACTAGCCCCCCTCCCCTAGGGTAAGGGAATAAGCGGCCACCCAGGACTCTGGGGTCTCGCCAGGGCGGTCGTCTCCACCTGCCCCGGGACTCGGCTCGGTGCGCACGGGTGGCGGCGGGAACAGCTCAGGCGGCGGCGGTTCACGCCGCAGGGAAGGGCGCCGCGGCGCCCCGGGTCCAGCTTGGGCCTGCCCGAAACCACTCGGTGACCCCGGCGCAGCCCGGATGCCGGAGGGCGCGCGGAGGCCGCGTGGGTGCCGGTCCTTGCGAGCAGATGCCCCGGGGATCGGCCCTGGCCCTTCCGCCCCCGCCGCCCACGCCCAACCCAGCTCTTACCGCGGGGTCAGCCGGGGAGGCGGCGGCCGCAGCGCTCCAGCTGCTGCTTGGCCGCTCGGGGCTCGGCGCCAGCCCGGCTGCCGGTGCACAGTCGCGCCGGTCCCGCCCGGCGGCCCGGTCCGCGGTGGCCGCTGGTGCGCGGCGGGCGAGGGTCCGGGCAGGTCCCGCCGCCACGACTGGGGCGCCGCGCCGCCGTCGCTGCAGACGGTTATGGTAATGAGCGGCTCTGTCTAGCGAGGAGCGTGTGAAACCCGTCAATCCTGTTTGCCATTTCCCCGTGGATTTCCGAGGAGA